TGCTGCCATACAAGACGGAAATAAGAAAGGATACAATCTCAGACTAACCGTAACAGATTTGGACGGTCACATTTACTATGCACATGGCAATGTCACAACAGCTGCAATGCTTCTTGACGCTTTCAAGACTACAAAGAGAGAACAAATGGTTGACTCCGACTCAGACATTTTGAATGCAATTGAAGGAATTGCAAGTGTAAAATTTGAATGGTACCAACCTAACCCTCAAGCAGTCAGACAACATGCTGGATACTTCCCGTTCATAAATAAGTCTGACATTGACTTGACAAGGTATGGAATTTACAATTCAATTGAAACAATTGTCAATGAACCTTGTATTCTTACATGTCTCAGGAACTCTGGTCTTGTTACAGATGAGAAGATGAAGTATCTTGAGTCATGTGTGAAGACAAGGTACATTCTCAGAGGTCAATTGGCAAAAATTGCACCGTTGGCAAATGTCAATATCCGAGTCAACATACCTACAGCTAAAGGTTCTTCACATGACGACTATGTTGTTGACAAAGACTTACCATGGTTGAAGATTGTAATTGTCCACAACCACTTCATGTTGAACGAAAGTCTTACAAACCCATTGTTCGGAAAAGGCAAGTGCAACATTGTCAGAGCTGTAAACATTCTTTTCGAGAAAGGTTTGTTGGAACCAATTCCAGATGACAAGCTGACAGAAACTTTTGTACCAAAAGACGAAACAAACTTTTCATTGTTAGCAAGACCAAAAGTTGTTCCAGACAAAGTTCTAGCACAAAAGAAGTACACAGTTCCAAAAGGAGTTGGATTGTTCGGATACCAACCTGAACCAGAAGAACTTCCAATGAGGTTGCAAGAACTTCAAGATGCTATAAACAAACTTCCATTGAGACATCCAATTGACGTCAAATTGTATTGGAGAGCATCTGAGTTAGGTCAGAAGGTTTTATATGAAACAGGTTGCTTCGACGATGTTTATGAGATAACAGGAGAAGTTTCTCAGAAGATAAGAGACTCACTTGAATTTCCACGAACTGGACCCATTGGTTGCGACAAGTTCGACTCAGATGAAAAGATATACTATGTCGACCTTAACGCTGCGTACATGAGGTTCGTCCAATATATCCCGACTGGAATTCCAAACGAAGATGGTGAGTTCCCAGGAAGGAACTATACAGTTGGAAAAGTCATACAACAACTGTATGATATTAGGAAAGCTTCAAACCCCAAACTTGCAATGACACTCAAATTGCTTATGAATTCGACATGGGGATATTCCATTAAGAAACCTCAAGAGATGAAGAGTAAACTATGAGAAGGTCGACAACTTTGTTGAAAGGTTTTCTCCTTTTGTTTTGAAGTACGAATTCACTCAAGGTCAAAGTGGCTTAGTAACCACATTAAAACCTATTGTCGAACATTGGTCTTACCCTCAGTTCGCAAAGGCAGTCCTTGACAACTACAACAAATTCTTCTCCGAAGTCAAATCCAAAGTGAAGGTTTACTATGAGAACATGACGCACTCATGACGAACGAAGAAGGCTATAACAAACTCATTGAAATGGGAATGGTCGGTGAAAAGATGGGTCAATTCAAATTGGACAAAATTTTCACCGAAGTTCATGTCCTCTCCAAGCGTAAGTACTGGGGCATACTTGAAGACGGCACAGAAATAAAACATTGCATGAAATAAAAAATTTTTATTCGAATTTGAATCGGACAGGTCGAGTTACACCATTCTTGGTCTCAAACTCATATATAACCTGTTTGTTTGTATTTTCGTCGACTATGGCACGAGACACGAACATTGACCAAACGGACAAAAAGTGTCATTTCAGATGGTCCGCAGCCAATCGCATTCGAGCACTTCGAAGAAGCCTTACGTTCCAAGGGAGAGGGTGTCTGGTGCAAGGCAGAGGTCATGAGACTCTACGAGCAGTACATCCTCAATGCCTGGGAGGACAAATCGTCCTTGGATTGGCAATTCTACCAACTCCTCTGGGACGACCTCCTACGCAACTGGGATGACGAAAGAGTCCAATTCAGAGGTCAGGAACTACTTGTCCAAATTCCTTAATTTAAGCTACTTAACTAAAAAACACCTAAATTTACTCGGGGTTTCCCCCTAAAATAAAATTTTTTTACTCTTAGAACCACTCGAGGTTCTCCTTACGGTTGTTGAGCTTGTCACCGTCAATGTGTCTGACCTTCGTCTCTTGTTTGGATTTGGAACCCATTGAATTGCGACAAGCTTGCCCATGGAGATTGAACCGTAATTCCGAAGGGTAAGGTTCAAGTGTCCCAAGTTGTTGAGACTGGGGTAAGAACCTTGCCGGTCTCCTTGTTGCGGATTTGGTATGGGTAGGGTTGGGAAATTTCGTAAGTGTCATCGGCAACAAGGGTTGCCCAAACTTCCTCTTCTTCGTGTTTCTCTTCTTCCTCTTCTTCCTCTTCCTCTTCTTCGTGTTTCTCTTCTTCCTCGACAATTCCTTCGGCAATTCTGTGTTCACGAAGTACGGTGTTGGAGGTTCTGTCCTTTCCGAGTACCTTCCAGATGGCGTCTATCTCTTCGAAGAAACGGTAGATGAGTCTGGCAAGGTCTCGGTTCTCTCTCGCGTAAATGCGCAAGGTTTCCGTCAAATCATTCAGGACTTTCTCATTGGAAGCTTGGTTCATGAGGAACTCACCTTTAAGTCCCTTCATCTCTTCCATAAGACTACTTTGGAGAGTCTTAACGGTGTTTGTCAGATGAGCTTTCAAATTCAAAATTTGAATTTGAACTGGGCGCTTGTCTGGCAACATTGAAAGGACATCTGCCATTGTTCGGCTTCGGTGCTTGTTCGGACATCGAAAAAATGAAGTGGTTTGAGAATGACGGTTTTACTTCAAAAAGCTTGTTATGACGGTTAAGTCATACAACAAGTTTAAAATAATATCTTGTTCTTCTTCTGAACGTTTGTTGTCTCTTCCGATAAAAGTTTCGAACATGAGAACCAAAAAACGTTTTTTGAGATTGCGGAAGAGTTCAGGCAAACGTTCATATTCTGGATATGTTGGGAGCAGTTCAAAACATCTGAGCTGACTTTCGGACAAAATTGGGACAATGTCAGAAAATTCATCTTTGGTCGGACTGCTTGAAGGTAAGTCCCTTACATGTAAGTAGCTCTGGTAAAGTCTTCTCATTTCTGCTAACTTTTGGAGTATAGCTTCGTAGTTTAGAAGTTTTAATTTTAATTGTCTTATTCCACTCTTGACATCTAAACGGTAACTATCCATGAGGTCAAGAGTAGCTTTGGTAGCTTTAAGTGGAGCTATCTGTTCCTTGACTTGTGCAATTTTGGTTGCAATTGTGGTTTGAGCTCCTTCAAGTTCGCCGTCTATGTCGTTCTCAACACCTTCAACCATAGCTTGAAACTCTTCATCGGTCCATTGAGATTGGTGTGGGACGAATTTAACTTGCTTCATTCAAAAAATGAAAAAAATGTTTTTACTCAAAGCGTGCCATGTATATGGCTATAAGAAACTTACCAGAAGGCTTCTTCTTCACATGAGTCTTTGGCAACTTGAGTGTTGGTGTTGGAGTTGGGTCTGGAATTTCAATTCTCTCTCGAGCGCAACAACAGATGTCAGAATAACATTCCCCACTGTCTTTCTTGCCACCATAAATTGTGTATTGACCGAACTTGCATTTGCAGGAAGACCGGTCAATACAAGGTTCACAGTTGAAATAGTTGTACACAAACCTGTTGAGTACGAGTGTGAGTAAAAACATAAAAAAAAGTGAAGTTAAAATGAGATGTTTACTGAACTGGCTGAAGAATTGGTTGGATGTCGCCTTCTGAGGTTATGAAGAACGGCTGTCCAGAGTAGTGAAGTAGTGCTCTGAGAATTTGTGTAATTCGTGGAATTGGGCTCTCACGATATGGAAGTAGTATCCAAGGACGTTTCATGAAGAACTTCAAGAGGGCTTCTTTCTTCACATCCTTAATATCATCGAATGCAGTGCCTTCTGGAACTTGAATTGCAACACCTGTTTCAATTTCCAACTTTAAGACACTATTCTTGGACAACCAGAAGCCAATGGACTTGCTTGGTTTGCACTTGCTGAGATATTCCTTCACGGTTTCATTTACCTCAATTAGATAAATTGCTTCGTCTAAGGGGTCAAGCTCCATACTGAGTCAGTACAATATTGTACTTTTTCAAGACAATGTTGTACTTTTTCAAGACAATGTTGTACTTTTTCAAGACAATATTGTACTTTTTCAGAACAATGTTGTACTTTTTCAGAACAATGTTGTATAAATTCAGTACAATGTCTCTCAAATTTGAGTACAGCTGTACTTTTTCAGAACAAGTCTTGAACTTTTTCAGAACAATGTTGTACTTTTTCAAGACAATGTTGTACTTTTTCAAGACAATGTTGTACTTTTTCAAGACAATGTTGTACTTTTTCAAGACAATGTTGTACTTTTTCAAGACAATGTTGTACTTTTTCAAGACAATATTATATTGTTTCAGAACAAAGACGGTTAAGACACAAACGAATGTCCGACGTCCCACCTACTGAACCCGTTCCACAGCCAGAGAACAGCATGCTCCAGCACCACAACAGTCTCCTCAGCAACCTCAGTTCCAACAAGGACCTCCGAATTACTACCAATTTCCACCTCAAGGTTACTACCCACCACAAGGCTTTCCAAACTACCCACCACAAGGCTTTCCAAACTACCCTCCTCAACCCATGCCTTACTTCCCTAACCCTTGGATGTTCATGTCAAACCCTCCACCCCAATTCCAATCTCAATCCCAATCGAAGAGAGACCAAGAGTTCGAAGAAGGTCTGAACCGTTTACGCAAAGAGTATGCCACAGCCCCTATGGAAGATGACAGGCTTTCAGTCTCTTCCCTAAGGTCGACCAATTCGACTCGTACCACAGATTCGGTTCGTGACCGTGAAGACTACCTCAAGCAGTCTGAGAGACTCTTCATCTTACACCATTTACAGTTGGAGCTCTCAAGAACATGCGCAATTACGAAGGTCAGACACCAGCTGGAGACCGCAAAACAGACGTACTCGCAAGAGCAGTCCAACTGGTCAAGACAAAGACCGAGATAGTCGACTTCATTCTTGCAGCTTGCCCATACAAGTAAAAAAATAAACAATTACGAGTTAAACTTTTTACTCTTTCTTTTCTGAGTTGTTTAGAGCTGGTTTCTCTTGTAGAAACCTTTCGTACTCTTCCATGGTCATGTAATTGCGAATTTGGTACGCAATTCCAGGTTCGTTGTTTTTGAACCTTACGTATGTAACGCTTCCATCCTCCTCAGGGAAGTAAGCTGCTAACATCTGACCAAGTTTTCTCGGTGACTCGGAGCTCATAAAAATGTCACTTTTTAAACGTTAAGTTTTTAGTCTTATTTTATTTTACCCTTTGTTTACCCTTTGTTTGTCAAGGTAGTATTGGAGTGCAATTTCTCCAAATTCTCTGTGTCGGAGTTCTTCAGCATTTTCCAAGGTGTACCTGGAGAACTCAAAGAAGTTGTCAAGAACATACTGCCATGCTGCTCTTCGTAGTTCGTCGGTATTTTGGAAGTGTTGCACCTTCGAGTCTTCGGACATGAAAAAATGACACTTTTTCAGCAAAAATAATGTTTAGGTGAAGAGGTGAGATTTCACCTCTTTTTTCACCTGTTTTTTCACCTCATGAATTTTCATGATTTCATCGTAAATGTTTTGTCGAAACTTCATCGTAATGAGCGTAAATGACCCAAAAATATATTTTAGGTGAAGAGGTGAGATTTCACCTCTTTTTTCACCTGTTTTTTCACCCTCTTGAATTTTCCCGAAATAAAAAATAAAGTTGGTTTTTTTAAAAAAATATTTTTTATTTTTATTGTAAGAACATGTTAGCAACAACAGCACCAAACTCGTTAGTCATGAACCCAACTTCAATGTTAGTAGAGATGAAAAGCTTCATTCCTTCTTCATATACTTTCGAAACAAAAATCCAGAAGATAAAGCAAGAACTTTTAACAAGTAATTTAGACTGTAGTGCGAAAGATGAAACAAATGAACAGTATCTTTATGAAATGCAGGATATATTGACCATTTACCTAAACTTCCTGAAATCCAACAACAAAAACTCACTATTCCAGAATTCGATGAAATAGAAGTCGGACTGACTGACTCAGTAGAAATAAAGAAGTTCATACGAAAGGTTAACTATGAGTTTCTTGGATTTCATTGCAACCACAAAGTCATGGACAAAGACTGCGACATGGTATATAAGAACATCTCTGACCTTTACAAATCCGAAGAATTTAAGACCTACGACAACTTTGTTTCATTAGTTGCAAAATGTGTATGGGAAATAAGAGATAAAGATAGTAGGGTAAGTATGGAACGAACAAATAAGACCCGCTATGTTCGAGATGAAGAGAGCAATTGACGCCTTAGTTGTTTTAGCAGGTAAGGTTTCAGAAATATAACGCAAAAATGAACCCACAATGTTCAAAATGTAAAGCAGCAATGAGGAAATATAACTACTCAGTCAAAGAGATAGAATGCGAAACGACTATGCACTTAAAGAGAAGAGAGAAACCAGCAGAAGATAAAATGGACATGTTGACATTTCTGAAAAAAACTATCCAACAGCAGAAGATTTCCTTCTATCTGACGTCAAGAAGAAGTATAAAGAAACTTTCGGCATAGTTAAAACATTCGATGTACTGACAGAAGAAATAGAAGCTACAAAACTGTTTAGGATTTCAAATATACATCGTACAATTCATGTAAAACGCTTATAAAATAACAGGTGAAAAAAGAGGTGAAAAAAGAGGTGAAATCTCACCTCTTCACCTAAAATATATTTTTATTGAATTCAGCAACAAAATTCTGAGTAAAATAATTTTTAGGGCTTGTGTCAAACCGTTGAGTTTTCACAAAATTTAAAAAATAACGTTTACCATGTGAAACGCTTATAAAATAACTGAGGTGAAAAAACAGGTGAAAAAAGAGGTGAAATCTCACCTCTTCACCTAAAATATATTTTTATTGAATTCAGCAACAAAAACAGTGAAATTTCTCTAGACTGACTTCTTTCGGGGTCGCCAAAACTCTTTATTTTTCAAGCTTGACTTTTTACAATTTGAACTTTGTTCGCGTAGATGTGAATTCTGAAAGAAGTATGAGGGTCTTGTATGACTTTGTACTTCTCCCAGAGTTCATGTCTGTCAAACTTACCTGCCATGGACTCTTTCATAAGTTCCATGAAATCGTCTTCGGACAATCCAGGGAAAAGTACAATGTCAGTAAGTATTCTCTTTACATCCTTACTTAAACTCTTGGCTGTCTGTACACAAATGACAACTGAATGTTAAAGTGTCTGAGCTTCTTAAGAATTCGACACATGTCTTGTTCTCTGTTCTTTAACAAAGGATGAGAGGCGAAATCATCTAAGATAAGAAGACATCTATGAGGGTAAGTCTTCCAATCGTAAGATTGCAATTTCTTCGAAATGTATTCTATCTCTTTCTGTTTGTTTCTGAAGTGTTTCTTCTCTAATATTCTCTGCATTTCCTCATTTGGGTCTTTAAACTTCGAATTTATATACTCATTTATAGCATTGTACTTCAAAACTCTTCTTTGGTACTTCTTTATCCAATCTAACAACTCAGAGTCTTTTATACATACTAACTTAGACTTCTTTATAATATCTTTGAACGAATTGACGGTTTGGTCAAATTGACCAGAAGTACTACAAATAACAACTAACTCATAGAATGGGTTCTTCTCATCTAGTTCTTGTTGTTGTGCAGCCATTTTAAGATAAGTGAAAGTCTTACCCGACCCAGGTGGTGCAATTAGACCTGTTATACCATTCTGAGCAAATAAGAACTTGTCATGTATGGGTTTTATCTGAGCATTTTCTAACTTCCTCTTGTTCTTGTTTAAAACATTCTCAAATTTCTTGTCAATGTCAGCAAACTTTTTTTCTAACATATTTTTAGAAAAATTAAAATTTTTATCTTTTTGAAAATGTCTAGCGATTTCGCTATCTATATTCGAGACAAGCTTTTCGACAGCAAAACATCTGTCGACCATAAAATCTTACATAGTGTAAACAAGAAAGGTGAATTTGTTCTAAAGTTCTGTTTCTGGGAATATGACAAGAACCATAAAACATTACAAAGAGCAGTCTTAAAATTTGTCAATGACAGACTTGTTGACAGAGATGACGCCGATTGGAAAGATGAAGTCCAACAAAAGTTCTTAGAATGCAAAGAAGACACATGCGCTGTTCTTGAAGATGAAATAGAAAACAGAATAGAAGAGCTATTAAAGGACAAAGAACTTTTACAAAATATGGTTCGAGAAATTTGACATAACTCCACCAGAGAAGAAGAAGAGAGAGAAAGAAAGAAAAGAAAGTAGAAGAAGAGAAGAAAGAACCTGAACCAGTTCCAGAGAAAAAGAAATTTGACATGTAAAAATAAAATTTTATTTTTAGAACATTTCTGGGTCAATGTCAATGTTCTCTTCCTCTTTAGGAGCAAACACTGGCTTAGACTCTAAAATCTTTTTACCCAATTTACCTTGAACTTCAACTATCTTAGACTCATAATATTCATAGTCGTCTGCTTTCTTTGGTTCATAAGGTATAACAAGTTTGTATGCTTTGCCTTCTTTAAGGTTTGAGAACCTTCTGTCAAAATTTTCTTTGACTGCTAACAAACCTTCTATGTCTAAGTCTTCAAATTTCGCACCATTTTTAGTCACAATAGCAAACTTAACTGGTTCGATGTTCCAAACTTTGTCAAATGTAGACTTTTCAAAATGGTAGAAGTAAACATTCAAATAAGAATGGGTCTAGTTCTTCTTTGACTTCTGTCATGTACTTGTTGACTGAAATATATTTCGTCATCTTTTCTATCGGATAAAAAAATATTTTTTTTAAATTTACTCAGAAAAATTTTTCTTTGTATATACGCCGTTCTGAACATCTAAAAGATTTTGACATTTGCCAAGAATGTTCGTTTAGAAGCTGCCATATAACCATACTCTTGACAATATTGTTTATATGAATCGTACAATGACCTTTCATCTAAACACTCAAAGTTAGTCTCATCTATAAACAGTTCATATACACTCTTGTTTGCTTCTAACAATGTTTGTCTCTCTTCGGTATGTGGAATTTGTCTTGGATTGAACTTAGAAATATCTAATGTCATGAAATATGAGAACAAGTGGTTGTAAAAGTTAGGTGTCAAAGTTTCTGCTAAGTCGTCAAAATATTCTGTATCTTGCATATGAGAATCTGACGTTCTGACAACTACATATCTTCTGTCAGAACTTTCTAACTTCATCGGAACGCATTGTTTGAAACCATAATGAAGTTTGCAACATTTTCACAAACTCTTTGGTCTTTATATTTCTTTCAACAACTCCAACTTTGTCTGTTATAAGACTCTTCAAAGCATCTGAGTTTAAAACTTTTGTTGTATCTATACTTTGAAGTTCGTTACAACTATAAGTTTCATATTCTCTATTGAAGAGTTAAATTTACCGCAGATGTTTTCTAAGTTTGTCATATTCGGGTTCGAATAGCCCTCTAACAGTTTGCATAAGATATCTGTAAAGAAAGTGTTCTTACCTGTTCCTTGTTTTCCAATTATAATGAGAGCAGTTTCATTTTTAGCACTTGGATGTTGTAAGATGTTTGCAAACCAACATAAGATATACTCATAGACTCTTTCGTTTCCATTGCATATAATTTCTTTGACATGGTCTAACCAAGCTTCTATAATATTTTCTTTCCATTCTACTTGTTCGTATTTATATCCAGTGAAGATAGAATAGAAGTTTGGAGAAGGTGTATAGAACTTTATACCACGAACTGAAAAATCTTCTAACTTTGACAATAAGATATCCCAAGCATCTAACATCTTCATGCCAACTTGTACGACTTTTATTTTCTTAAGTTTCTGTCTACATTCTTGTTCTGAAACTATTGTTGCTCTTGGTTTGTTAAAGACAACATCCCATTCTTTCATGACATAACATTCTGGGGCAGAGTCGACATAAATGACTAAACGTTTCAAATTCTCGACTGCTTTGTTATAGTCTCTAAATGGACACATATTTCTGAACGCTTGGAAGTCATAAAAATCTGAAACATCTATTCTGTACATTTTTATAAAAATAAAAAAAATATTTTTTTTATTCTTGACTTTGTTGTTGCATTTGTTCCATTTGTTGCATTTGTTGTTCTTGAGCTATTTGTTGTTGAAGTTGTTCTTGTAATACAATACTTTCACCAGTTGCATCTTCCAATTCGAAACTTTCTGCCGTCATTGACAAATACATAGGACATAAAAGTTTTACAGGAACAAAGTTTGCGTCAACTAAGGTTAAGTTTATGTTTGCTAAAGTGTTTGAGTTCACTAAAGCTGAAAATCTGCATTCGAATGAACAATAGGCAAACCAGCAGAGAAAGTGTTGTTTATACGCATGAGTATCTTTTGGTCATAGTAGTTTCTGTCGACATTCGAATAGCACTTTGAACCTAAGTTTGAAACAATATATAAAATAGGTGTGCTTAAAGTCAATGGAAGAATAGACCTTGTATGACACCTTTTCCTGTTATAGGAAACTGTTGGTAGTAAAAACCAGATATAAGTTTTGTATTATAGCTCATATCGTTTATAGTAAACTCAGTCGGACATCCAAACATAATGAAACCTGCTCTAGTTGCAGCACATGTTACATCCGTCCTTAAAGTATTAAATAAGTCAACAAAACCTGTTGGTGGTATATCTGAGTAAGTATCTTCAAAGAAGTATTTTTTACCATTCACAACAACAAAGTCTTCTGGTGTCAAAAGAGCAAAACAGGCTTTAGTCGTCATTGTGTTTAAGGTTAGTTTACAATATCGTCCTTGAGGACTTTGTAAGTTTGTTGTTATAGAATTATATGACTCAGGGTTTTTAGTCGTAATAGTATAAACCACTATGTCTTCTGCCATTTACTTAGCAAATAAATTTTAATGAAATGTTGTGGTCGTCAAATATTTTTATGACGTCTGGGAAACTATATTTTAAGTTCAACGTTTCACCTCCTTTCATAACGTATATCTTGTCAATGACATTATATGAAACACCACAGCAAGCAATGTCGGGTTCTATTTCTTTGATGTTTATATCGTCTGCCTCTGTCAAAAGTTTCAATAGTTCTTTCAAAACTTCATGAGGTGCGATGACATATGAGTTCACTTTTACAGGGTTGTGTTCGACCAAGTTTAACATTATACCCAAAGCTTGACAAATCTTCTCCTGAGTTTTAAGTTTGTCTTTAAGTTGTTGGTAGTCGTTTCGAATATCTGCAACAGAACTTAAGTCTCTGCTAACTTCAGGGTATGTTGGTTGTTCTTTTACAGGAACTATTGTTATACCATCTTCGTCTTCGTATGGTTTCCCCACTTCAACATCTCTTTCTTTGACATTGACAACAACACTTTGACTGTTTGTTTGAGTTGGTGAATTTAACTTCACATCTGCCACCGCCATTAAACCTTTTGAAACACTTACGCTTCTATTTTTCGGAAATGACATTTTACTTAGAATAAAAAGATGGACGTATTTGAGTATCTCTTCGAATTGAAGCAAAACAAAGTTTACACACACAAACAATACAAATACATTGACAGAATAGTTCTTTACACAAACAATGGAAAATGTTATAGAATAGCAGTCTTTGCTGAACCAAAATATTTTCATAAAGCAAAGAAAGTTGGTATAACTGAAATGGTGAAAGTTCTTGAAGCAGACAAAAATATAACAACAAAACTGACATATTTCTAAAGGTAAGTTTATAATACAATTTTATGTCAAAACTGGCGTACTGTCAATATTTGACGGAGAGAAGTCAGTTCAAGAACAACTTACTGACCTGCTGCCAAAATCTGCTCGATGGAAGCTGTCGTTATGCCAATCTGAGGAGCCCCAGCAGGTTTCATCGAACGAATCTTCAAAAGAGCATCTTCCGTGAAAAGTGCTATTGGTTTTGTAAACTTCTTTGCTTCAATTCATCTGGACCGTCTCTGTCACCAGTATATTGTATTTGAACTGTACCAACAGTTGAAATACCACCCATAAAGTCTTCTGAGTCAGCAAATGGAATGCCAAGCCAAAAGTTTGAACGGTCTCCATTTGTATATTGAGTTTTTTGACCTCCTGTATGAGTCCATACTTTCACATATGGCATAATAGAACTTTGCATTTCAGGGTTAATGGTTGTTGTGAAGTTGTTGTTAAAGTTCATAGCATCTAATGTCAAGTTGTATGACCTCATATCCTCAACTGTAGAATATTCTTCTCTTGGATAATATTTGCCATCTATGTTTATATGATATTTAATACCAGGGTTGTAGAAACAAGAATAGTCATTTATAGTTCGTCTGAACAGTACAAACATAGTATCTGCATGTTTCATTGCAGTTGTTAAAGCAATATCTGTTCTTGCACCTGGGTCAGCACTTTGGTTTCCAACTTCACCTGCAAAGTCTTTGACAGATATTTGGTGTATAGGGAACATAAGTGGAACTGCAATATATTTGGCAGCTAAAGCATTTGAAATATCTGGGTCCAACATATAGACTGCAAGTCTGCTTTCTATTCTCTTGCATTCAAACTTTTCGCATGTGAACTTAACTGGGTCCCAAGCATCTCCAGCAGCATTGAAATAATAGTTTACTTCAGTGTTGAGGTTTGAGAAACCAAAGTCTAAGTCAACTTTGTCTTTGCAAAAGTCGGCGAATGACGTTTTATTTGTTCCCACTACTTCTGTAAGAGTGAATGGGTCTTGTGTTGGTGCAATGACTAAGTTATTTTTGCTTGGAGTAAGTTCGATAGAAATTTTTCCTGCCCAGTTTGGCAAGTATCTTAAAAACCTGAAGATGAGGAAAGATGACAAAGGAACTCTAAGTTTCAGTTTTACTTTGGTTACTGCTGCTGCAGTTTGTCCAGAAAGGTTAACATAAACTCCTGGAACGTTAGGGTCAAGTCTTCTTATTTTCTCAATAGTTGCATACTGGTCTGTTTGTTCTCTAGCTTGTGGTTGTACTGAGTTTCTCAAAGCGAACCATTCATAGTTTGCCCATGTTACTGTTTGAACTAAGTCAGAGTTAGAATATATCTTATATCCCATGAAAACTTCTGGAGCATATTGGTATCCGACATAGAAAATTCCATTGCAACCTTTCTTGTCAGACAACTTGGCAGAAGGTTTTATTTCAATGTCTTGTTCCACGTATAAGAAAGAGTTGTCAATAGAAATTATATGAAACCTGTCGCAAGCAATATCTACTGTTGTTGAAGAACCTTCTCCAAACTCACCTACGTTTCCATAAGAAACAGCAGTTGTATATTCGTAAGTTCCAGGAACTATTTCTGACCTTCTAATGGCATTGTCGCATTCGTTATACCATTCGGAAACATTTCCATTCATAGCATCCAAAACTGTTGGCGTTATATTCTGAGCGGCGTACATTTCATATGAGTAAAAATATAGAATAGTTGGATTTATATGTCATAATAGAACCCACGTGGACCAAGCTTTACTTTCTTCCTGACTGAGTTTTTAACTCTTCTTTTTCCTTCATTGCCCTCTGCTTGAAGTTGTTGCATCTTTGCATTATGTTCATCTAGTATGTTGCAAATTTCCCATGTCCTTTTTGCCTTTTGGCTCTGGTCGCCCATCTCAGGTAACCTATATCCTAGAAAGAGTTTGTCATAGTCTGTATTTGAGTCTTCGCGTATTGTTTGCATGACTCTTTCCTGAGTTTCCGGTTCAAGCTCTTCAAACAGTGCCTGTCCATATGGAATATGCTCGTTTCCAAATATATGTTTTTGTAGCCATTCTGGTTTTCTTTCCATGTTACCAACTATATCTTTTGTGAATGGGAAAGCTTTTACCCAATCTTTCAGTCTTGCGTCGTTTATTTCTGTAGTTGGTTTTATTTTGTCAAGGAACATGTTTTTCAATACTAACATTTCATTTGGTACTGTCCATTTGAGTTTTCTTAAATATTCATCCCTTCTCGTTCATTGTCTGCAAAGTAAGTTTTTATGACATTTTGTAAACTTTCGTTTGCAAGGTCATGTACAATAGGTTCTCTTCCTTCTCTCCCTAACTTTCTTTCTAAACTCTTCACCAAATATACCATCTCTATGGTTCTGTGTAGTTCTTTGAGATAAATGTTCTAGAACGTCAGGTGTTATATTTCCATCAGCCATGTTCATTTCATACTGGTCCAAAATATCTGCATCTTTCATATCTTTCAATGGCATTAAAGCCGCGCTGAAAATACCAGCTATATCTGGTTCACCATTGACTTCCATTGCGTCTACAACTTCTTGGAATTGTGGTTGTAAGTTTATGAACCACCTATCCGGATTAGCTTTATGACCCCATCTCATTGTAGTTCCATCGTCTGCAGAAACAAAAGTAGGTTTGTTTCCATCTTGGTTAGGTTCTGAATGAACTTTAAACAATGTTTCATTTCTATATGTTTTCTTGAAATTTAACCTTTTATTTTCACCGAGTTCATCCGAAGATTGAACGTTAAATGCTCGTAAGTAAAAAGGGTTGTTGTATTTGTGTACATTTTTTTTCAGTTCTTCCATTCTATGCTGAATATTTTCATCTGGTTGGAGTCTTTTGTATGTCGGCAAACATTTTTCGATATTCTTCTACTATGTCAGCCGAATTTTTTTTAGACTCTTGGAAATATCCCATATTCTCCGCATACTCTTGTTGAGGGTCAAGATTTTTCGGCTGTTCCAAATCTTCATCTAGTTCTGTGAAGTTAGTTTCCAAAGGAGCGACTTGTTCGTTTCCTTCAGGCTCTTCTAGCTGTTGTTGCTGAACTATTTCTTCCATGTCTGGTTGTATCTGAACTTCTTCCTGTGGAGTTTCTTGTACCTCATCTGCTGGCATTTCATATATTCCGAGACCGTTTTTAACAATTTCCCTATCTACGTCATCCGCATTCATAAGCTTTTGTTCTTTCGTTCCGTCTCTATTTTTTACGCGTTTCATGACGAAAGTTGAATTGTCATTTAGCTCTGACATCAAATATCTCGGAGTAAATTCATCCATGTCATTTGGATGATATGCTATTAAATCATATCCCTTAGCGAGCTTGTATTTTCCAGGTTTGAGATTATATCCGTTTTGGTGCTGAGCCATAAAGCTAAATAGGTTCGGGTCAGTATTTCCATCCTTGAACTTTCCAATAGCTTCTTTATATCTGTCACTAAAGTCAATAGTATCTGGGAAACCACACTCTTCTTTAAGCATTTTTAAGAATTCTTGGTTTCCTTGTTCTCTACTTCTTTTATGTCCTTGCTCTGTTTGTGGTTGTTGTTGTGCAGGGTTTTGAACTGTTGGTTGCTGTGTGCTGGTTGTTGTGTTGGTTGTTGTGCTGGTGTTGTGCAGGTTTTGAACTGTTGGTTGTTGTGTGTGTTGTGTTGTTGGTGCATGCCTGTGTCTGTGTCCATGTGACGATGTAAATGTTTTAGGTAGTCCTGGTGCAGGTGCTTCTCTTGGAGGGTTTGGTGGTATATAAGTTCCACTAGCTAGTATATAAGTTCCACCAGCTGGTATATAAGTTCCACCAGCTGGCACATATGTTCCATCTGCAGCGTAATGTCCTACCTGACTTTTCGTTTTAAGAAAGCATTTACTAGGTCTGTTTTGGTCTGTTGTAACTCTTTTTCTTGACTTTCACAACAGTTGCTCTAACGGCGTCATAGGCACTTTGAACTGCCTGTCTCGTTGCTGCATCTGTTATTTTCGTCATATTTTGTGCTACTTCTCTTAACTCGTTGTCGAAACCTTCAGACTTCAGTTTCTTTCCAGATGAGAAGTCGTTCACTAGTTTCACCTTACTATGAAGAGCTTCGAAGGCGTTCTTAAAGTCAGCATTCATTAAAGCTTCATTTGAACTGTCTTCATCCGCTTGTATTTTTGTCCTTATTGACCCTATAAGCTGGGCTGCTTTGGCGTTGGCTTGGGCATCTAACCAGTCATTGTTAGCTTTTATATATTCTGCGCTTTTCATTGCCTTTTGCATGGCTGCGTCGTTATTTTTACTTTCTTGTGCTAAGTTTTCATACTGTACGGTTTGGTTTTGCAACTGTAAAAGTTTTTCTGCCTTTACATTTGCTTCAACTTCTTTTTTATACTCATCGCTATCCATATATGTCTTCAGGGCTTTTTGTTTTATCTCTTCATCTTTCAGTACTTTATATTGAGTAGTATGGTTTTTCAAATTTACAACATCTTGTTCCATTTTTGCTACTTCTGCTGCTTTTTCTGACACTTTTTTCGCATATTCCTCTGTACTTAGTTCTTTCAGTTGTTCTTCTTTCTTCTTTTTCTCTACGTTTAACTCATTGAGTTTCTTTGTGTGTCTGTCATATTCTAGTTTCTTTTCGTTTTCACTTATTTGCTTCTGTATGTCTATGTTTGACTTTTTGACATCTGTTATTTGATTTTTGAGTGA